GTATGTTATAAACATGGCAGATGAAGCCAGGTATGTTATAAACATGGTAGGTACAGCTAAGTATGCTATGAATATGGTGGATGCAGCCAGGTATGTTACAAATGCAGCAGATGCCGCTAGGTATGTTACAAACATGGCGGATGCAGCTAGGTATGTTACAAATATGGCAGATGCAGCCATATTAAGAGGACTGGGGAGAAGATACCAACAGTAAAGAAAGTGTCCAAGCCTGAGGACCTGTGTTCACATCCCCAGTGCTCACAGAAAGGACAGCTATGGCAGCATGCATGACAGCAAGGGCTAGAGAGGCTGAGGCAGCCGGGTCTCCACGCTCGCTCATCAGGAGCCAGCTTAACTTGATTGGGTCGGGAAGCAGTGACTGAGGAAAACATTCAACTTTTGGCTTCTGCATGTTTACACACACAAACACACACACACACACACGTATGTAATAACCTCTGTACAAACACTCAAATTAACATGTACACACATAAAAAATCAGTGTTTTATTTTAAAAAGATAGAAAAGAACAATGGGAAATCACTAACAATAGAAAAATGGCAGTGAGGAAACTATTTTTGAATATTCAAAAGAATGTGAGATCATGTTAATTTGTATGACCTTTTTAGAATTAGCTATGCAGAAAATGTTAAGAGGATAAAAAAAATGTCATGACCTGAACTTTTACAATTTTTTCCTGAGATGTCTTAGAAGTGTCAAACTGTCAAAATATGTTGACATAAAGATCTGAGCTTTGTAGCATTATCTGGGATAGAGTTTTAGAAGCAAACCTGGGGAGGAGATACAGCTCATATGAGAGCCCCCAGGTTTAGTCCTCAGCATCAAAAACACGTAAGCCATGTTTGTCCTCCCCCAGGTAGCTGTGTTTGGGATCTCACGCTTACTGGGTCCCTTAGAATTTCATTCATTCCTTTCTTCTATTGTATGTGTCTTCAATCTCTCTTCATCTACTAGGCACGAATATGTTTACATTTCTAAAACACTTAGCACCTTTTAAAAATTGCCTTATAATTTCACACATGTATATAATGTATTTGATCCAACCCACCCCCTATACTCCCTCCAGTTTCTCCCCTACCCCCAACTTCACTTTTTTATTGTTGTTTTATTTTGTGAGCCCACACTATTCTAGCCC